CGACCCAAGGCATAAGAGCCATTGTAGCCAGCCTAATGAGCCTCAAGGCCACGCATAAAAGGTCACTTCGACCCGAGGCATAAGAGCCATTGTCGCCAGCTCATGCAAATACAAAAACTTGAGGGTCAAATGAGCTCGAGTCGAAACCCGACTCGGAGACTAAACCCAAAACAATTGATCAAAACATGTCTGAAACAAAAGCATAAGAGCTCAAACACAAGCTTATACTAAAGGCTCGCATCGGCTGAGTACATAGAAGCCTACGGGCCAGCCCGCTAAGCCTCAGGGCCATATCGCGAATCCAGGGATTCCTATCGACTGAAAAGACCAGTTCACTCGACCAAATTCAAGACAGAAAGGGATACAGAAGAAGTAAAGCTATGGGGTTTTTTTATACACATATACAAAAAAATGCAATCTCCATCTATAAACATGCTTTGAAAATACTACATACAGATGGCAAAATCTGCCCCCCCCCCCACTCTTAGGGGATACAGCCGCCCAGCCTCATCTTTTCTTTCTTCGATGTTAGATAGAAGTAATCGAGCATCACGTTCGTCCTCCCTCGCTCGCGCTAACTCTTCCGAGAGAACAAAACCCCGAGCACGGATCTCCTCGAGAGTCTTTCTTCGAGACTTGCAATGAGCTTATTCTTTGATCCTCTCTTTGCGGTCGAGGATCCTTCTCAGCTCAGCTTGAGCATCAGTAGCATCCTTTAAATAGATTGTCACCTTCTGATCAGCCTTAGTTTGGCTCTTTACAACTTCATCCCGAGCATCAACGATCTCATCCCTTACCTTCGAAAGCTCGGCCTCGAGCTTCATAATCGCATCAACTTGAACCAAATCATTGTCGCGAGCTAAGCGGAGTTGCGCCTCAAAAGCGGGAACTTTAGCAAGAGCACCCTTCTCCTCTAAAGCCTAAACCTCTGCCTGAGTTCTTAGCTCATCATGTTCATGCTTGGCTCGGCCAGCTTCATCCGGAAGGCGCTCCAGGCTTCTGTCTTTTTCTGCAACTAAGATAAACAAAGTATTAGCCTCGGAAGCTAGAAGGCGGAACACACATTTGCCCGGGACAGAATACTACCTGCTCCTTCAGGTAACTCTCATAACTCAAGCTCTGGCTCACCTCATACCACAAGTGTTCCAGTTCGACTTCCTTTTCATCGTAAAGGAGCCTAAGGGATCTCTCCTCATCCAGAGCTTTCCGCAGCCTGGCTTCACGATGAAGCAGCCCGGATGTAAGCCTATCAAAGGCCTGCAAAAGAAAACCCAATAAGGAAGGCAAGGCACGAAACTCAAAAGGCCTATGTCGAAACACACCACGAAGTGAAGCCGCTCTGCTTCATCAAAAGCCGAACGTGCATCTGTCAACCTAGTTCCCTCAGCTCTAAAAGAGTTGACTCCGATCAAGGCACGGTCGCTCGGAGTGTCTGACCCCGATTTTCTAGTATCCCTCGAAGTACTATCGATGGAAAGGGAAGGCGACAAGAATGGAGAAACCACCTTTCCAGAATGGAGAACCACGGGCGCGGCAGGTTTAGATGATGTTTCCATTCCGGAGCCCCGGTCCAGTCTCGCCTTGCTATGAGCGCCATCGCCCTGTAAAGGCATCTCTCACTTATTATTGTTGTTGTTTAGCCCGGAGGCTAGCGACCCTTCCTCCTCTCTAAAGGAGTGTGGACTCGCCTCGGAAGGCTCTCCGATTCCTACAACAGCAAGATTAACACGCAGAAAGGGAAAATACCTCTCCAAATGAAGGAAGGAAAAGGAATAAATAGCATAACACACACACCATGATGTTTTTCTCCCCCGGACTAAGCACGCCACTTGCGCTCATCACAAGTCGAGTGGATCGCCAACTTCCGAACCCAATCCGGAAGATCGGGAACAACGCCCGACGCCCAAGCAACCGCTGCAGAAAAAGAAAAGAAGGCACAATTACGAAAAAGCCATCGCCATAAACAAAATTGAGAAGGCACGAAATATACCACTTACGCGTATAATTCCATTCCTCATGGAAGGGCATAAGCTCCGTAGGGATAATGTCAGCGGTGCAGACTCGGACGAATCGACTCATCCACTCCCGATCTCCATCCTTATCATCATCAATAATGAAGGGTGTGGTCGACCGGCATCGCAAGGTTAGCAGACCCGATGGTGGAAGGGCCAGTAGAGCCTGATAAGATGACTGAGCGTGCAGTCAAGCCCCGCCTTCTCCGCGAAAAGTCTCATCATCAACACTATCCGCCAAAATGATGGATGGATCTGCGCCAAAGTAACTCGATACTTTAAACAGAAATCTAGCACAACCCTATTAATGGGGCCCAGTTTGAAGGGATACGTGTACACATTCAAAAATCCATCGGCACGATCTGTGATGCCCTCATTCGGGGAAAATATCTGTAACACTACTTCCTCCCCCCATCTGCAATCTTTTCTTACTAACCCAAGATGCTCTTCTCCTATCAAAGAAGTAATCTCCAAAGTATTCTCTCGTTGGTCCTGAATACCGGAGGCGGAACTCCCCATTCTCTGCCGGACAGACCCCGACGTAGCAGTCATGGCGGTGGCAAAATAAGAGAACTGGAGCAGGAATTTGTGCAAGCGCATTAGTACTGAAGTGATGAAAGGCTTAGCATAGAAGAAGAAGGGTAACTACCTAAAATGGTGGGGTCTCCAAAGGAGCGTAAGCGACCCTATATATGGAAAAAACAGCAACGATCCGCCTGCCAAAAAGGCCAACGTAATCATCGCCAGTCCTGAGGTAGTACCCGACCTCGAGGCCCTCCATAAGAAAGAAGTTAGGCTCTAAGAAGCCAACAACATCACCACAAGTCCCGAGGTGGTACCCGACCTCGAGGACCTCCATCAAAGGAAAGTTTGGCTCCAGGAAGCCAACAACATCATTACAAGTCCCGAGGTGGTACCCGACCTCGAGGATCTCCATTAAAGGAACGTTAGGCTCCAGGAAGCCCACGATATCATTACAAGTCCCGAGGTGGTACCCGACCTCGAGGACCTCCATCAAAAAGAAGTTACGCTCTATGGAGCCAAAGGAATTACTGCAAGTCCCGAGGTGGTACCCGACCTCGAGGACCTTCATAAAAAAGAAGTTAAGCTCCAGGAAGTTGATAACACCATTACAAGCCTCGAGGTGGTACCTGACTTCGAGGACTTCTGTCAAAAATGAGTTAGGCTCCAAGGAAATAAGCGTTTAAACTCCACTCATATGGGCTTGATCACGGGGTACCGCCTAGATTCAGGTAAAACCTTGCTCAGGATCTACCTGCAGTGCCTTACGGCTATCTGCGCTAAGTTCAAAGCAAGTTTCCGAGTGGCTCAGGTTTAAACGAACCCCGCTCGGGGACTGCCCTCGAAAGCTTAAAGGCAGTCCCTATCATCGGACCTCCGAGCAAATTTCCCCTTGAAGATTATTGCAAGGTCTAAATGATAAATCACGGTCTCAAGGCTCAAAACAGTACTTTCTTTCAACTCGAAGTAAGGGTCCCGACGACCCGGGTTTATCGTCCCAATACATGCTCGTTCCAAGGGATTCCGCAGGAAGCCGTATTAATCAATAAAAGGTCAGAAGAAATGCCCGCATCTGGGTTCGATATTGGTAGTGGCCGATAGGGTCACGTATTCAGAGTCTTCATAAGTGCAAATGAAAGAAAATATAGGAGGCATCGAAGATAAACTTGGGAAAACGTCTTTGTATTCATAAAACACTTGAGTATAAAAGCCCACGAGGGGTCTTTACATATGATTACGAAAGCCCACAAAGGGTCCTTACACAGAAACAAAGAAGCAAAAAGGTACACGTATAGGAAAAGCCTAGAGCTTAGCCTACTCTCAAAGGTGCATCCTTGGCAGCAGCGTCTTCGAGCATCATCTCCTCGGGCATGCATCCTCAACGGTAATATCTTCGATTGCCACCTCATCTACGGTTTCATATCGATCCTCTAGAATAATATCTCTGAGGGCAAAGATGAAGAAAAGGAAAATGGGGAGATGAAGAATAGGAAAGTGAGGCGGAAGAAGCTGAAAAAAGAGACATAGCCCGCCGAAGCCAAAGGTTGATGATTCGGCGGGCATCAACCCTACTTGCATTGCTGCTCCAAGTCCACCTTCTGGGACATAGTGTCGTGCAAGTTTAACGGCCGGTTGTACCATTTTATCCCTTGGAAAACCCAGGGGATGAAGTGTCACACCAGCCCAGGGTAGGAGAGTGAGCAGGGTGTATAATTCGAACGCTCTGCCGAGCAGCGGTGTAGAGTCCAAACTTCCTCCTAAGTTGGAAGAAGTCGGGCCCACTATCTCATCACCTCGAGCCAATGACGACCGCAGTAACAACCGTAACAAAAACAACAACAATGACAAGACAATGTAATCTCGTCCGGCAAAGGAAAGCCCAAGCAAAAGGCCATGGCGTGGATGAGAATGCCGCCATATTACCTTTAGACCATAGGCCCCAAACATGGTGGATAGCAATGGAGGAGGATAGTGAGAAGAAAGGGATGGAAAGATGTTGAAAGGCACTTGGATAAAAAGATAATACCGGAAGGCCCCCATTTATAAGGGGTGATCGTATGGCCAACAATGCCATCAATGCTTTTGAAAGATGGAACGGAGGGCGCAATCAATGCATTATTGAAAATCGAGTCGACGGCGATACTGTCGCTTTGAAGAATGGGAATCGGCAGCGCATTGAATGGAACTGAAAAGACAAGTCCATGGGATGTCCCGATTATCGTGAATGCTTACATCATAAGTTGATATCATCGGTATGATGTCATCACGAGAAGTCCGTAGAGTTTCTTACCGCTCCCCTCTAAGAAACGCGGGGACTATCTGTATATGGTGAAATCGGAGGGTCCAATTCCTCACCATCGAAGCACCTCAGAAGATTATTTTGAAGCCTCGAGATGGTCGAGTTTCCTCCCTTGAGGTTTGTCGACACACGACCTTGGGACAATGATGACCACGACTATGATAGAAATGGAGAGTTCCCAAGGTACACGGCTAGGACTGACAAAGCCTAGTGGACTACCCTAACCCTGAATCAGGGTGTCATATCTAGCTGTCCCATCTCCGTTTCTTTGTCATTAATGAATTTTGTACTATGTTGAGATTCCCCTCCTATAAAAAAGGGGATCCTTGTCATTTTGTAAGACTCCCGTTGCTTTAGTTGCTCCACACAAAATATACAAGAACATTCTCTCTACTTTCTAACATACTCTCTTGATATTATTGCATTCATTTATTATCAGCATCATTGTACATCATTTATTGCTTATAATTGGCCATAAAGATCCTTCATTAATATTAGTAAAACTGTTAGTCATACTCCGATCACCCTCGATAGCTCACAGCCAAGCTCTGGAATCAGCAAGCTCGAGGCCCCGATTGCTAACCTGTCGATTTGGTTATCACCTTACTCCTTACTCTTATTTCGTTTTTGTGTCTAACACATATAGTAACACCTTCTTAACAACTAGCATAAAAATAGATCACGTATTTTAAGAGTCCCATAATCAGATTTAACTATTATTACCATTTTCACGGTAAATAGGTTACTTCTTGCTTGTTAGGGAATTCTACGCCAACTGTTCCGAACATGAGGATCACGTTTGCATTGTGCGACAAAAGAGGGTGAATGCCTCGATTGAAGCTATCAGGAGAGTGTATCGCTTGCATGCATTTACTGGGGAGGTGGATTACTATGATACTTACAAGCGCGAACCCACAAATTGGCAATTGTTTTTCCAATCTATCTGTGAACCAGACAAGGAGGTAATGTGGGTTGTTTAGGGATCGAAGTTGCACCCCGCCTCACTCACCTTTGAAGGTATGTGTTGGTTGTACATCATCAATAGTCGACTGCTGCCGTCCCACAACACCACTGAAGTCAATGGACCGCTAGCTGCTTTGATCTGGTACTTCATGAATGGCCACGATTTTGATGTGGCCAAGGTTATTCACTCGGAGATTTTCATTTGTTCAACACTGAGGAGGTATGGGTTCTTCTTCCCATCTCTAGTCACTAGATTGTGTCGGGCTGTAGGGGTGTCAGAGAACCCCCATGTAGACGACAAGGTGAAGAAAGAAACAATGTTATGGGCTTCCAAAGGACCATTGGGAAAGAGACGATGGCATCCAGTTCAACTAATAGTGATGATTCTGACGCATCCGAGGAGGGAGATGATGAGCAGGATTAAGTGGGGGCTGAGTCGCCCTCCCATGAGCATGTTGCGGAAGCCGAAGGGCCAACTGGGGTTGGTCGGGTTACAAGGTTGGCAGCCTTAGAGCAGGAAATGGAAGGGTTGCGTACTACTGTCACAGACTATGGGACTAGAATTGATGCCTTGGCAACCCAAAATGCTAAATCAGAGAAGAAAATCATGGGCTGATTACGTGCGCTGGGGAGTGCCTGTTACTTAGACCCCGACACTGTCTCTGATCAAGAATGATATTCTAGTGAAGTTCCTTTACCTCGCATTACTTTCTATTTTATGACATGAGGACATAATATCTTTTTAAGTGTGGGGTGGGGGTTACTTCGTTGGTATGTTGTGTATATATAGGAATGTAGCTTGATTCTAGTTTGATTGTAGTCTTTGGTTAATTTGATTGTAGTATTTGGTTGGTTTGATTTTAGTTATTGCTTAAATGTGTGAATGTGTGAAAATTTCATATTTTCGACTTGTCCCGACGACGGATATCACTTGACGGGTTTCTTGAAGGTCTAAGTCGATATAAAAAAAACAATTTTCTTTTGTAGGTAGTGTATCAATTACCCATTGGTTGTTCTTTTGACCGCGGTTCTTTTCCAAGAGTTTTTGTTTGAACCGGGTTAGTTAGTTTTTATTTTTATTTTTAATTAGGTACTTGTGGGCTAAGCGCTGATATGGAAGGAGGATCCCTTAACGTATTATGCCTTGAATACAGTAGATATTTTAGTGTGACACTTAGGCTCAGTTGTTGATTCTTATTACAGTGCCTTACATTGTATGTTCTTAATTTGGCTTAAGTAATCTGACTAGAGCGTTTCGATGATCCAATCTGGAGTGAGTCATGTGCCATGTGTGTGTGAGGATTGTTGTGTTCTGTGTACTGCATTGCATGCCTAGAACTTGCCCCGTGTGTTTGCAAAGCGAAAGAGTAGTTTGTTCAGTCTTGAAAATGATATAGGCGTTTCTTTGTTAATCTAGATATATATATATTTTACCCGCCTAATTGTTATGTATCGTAGTTAACCCCTTTGAGCCTGTAATCCTGTTTCTTTGGCCACCACATTACAAACCTTACTCATTTGTTTGAATTAACCATCTATTTCAACCTTTTCGCCTCTCATGAGCACTTGAATTATTATGACCTTTGTAAAAGTTAAAGTGTGGGGTGGTTGGTTCGGTTTTTGAGTGGAACTAAAGAAATAAAGAGAAAGGTGCACTGATTTGAAACAGCAAGAGCCACTTGAATTGAAAAAGAAAAGAAAAGAAAAACAAAATAGTTTATTGTGTGTAGATATTCCTTGCTAAGTGGTGACTCTTGATGTAATTTTGCTTAAAGAAATATGGAGTTAATATATATGGATGTGAAGGTGGAGTTATGGTTTGACATAAGTATGAGCTTGAATGTTAAAGTATATGTATTAAAGTGCTTGGGAGGTGTAGTCACTCTTATATCTAAATGTATCCTACCCGTCCCGCAGCCTACATTACAACCAAATAAAGTCCTACTTATTCCTAGACTGAATGAGCTCGATTAGTAGAGTAGTATACTACGGGCAAGCCTATGGTGCATCTTTTATGGCATATGAATATTATTTATGAGAGTGAGTGAATTCTTTCTATCTTGAGTTCCTAATTGTTCTTAACTTTTATGGTGTGTGGAACTAGTCTCTTTTGTTGTGTGAGGGCACTTGATTCATGAAGGAAAGGTAATGTCAGTGACCTCTATGTTAGAGTAAGTGGGTGAGTTGTGAATAATGCGTGCTACTTGTGAGTCAAATCTTGAGGTGAAGATGTTGCGCTTTTGTGCTTAGTCTATTTTAAATATTCTTGGTATGATGAGTTAGAAGAATTGTTTAAAAAGGTCGTGTCTATATAAACTGTAGTTTGATTGCTCGAGGACGAGCAATGGTTTAAGTGTGGGGTGTTGATGATAGGCTATAATTGCGTATTTTAATTGTTTATTACACTCTAATTTATTGCACTTTAATTGAGTTTGAGCTTTAATCGCTAGTATTTGCACTAATTGTATATTTTATACCTTGTAGGAGTGATTCCGAGCTATGTAGATATTATAGAATGAATTCAAGTGATTTGGAGCTTTGAAGTCTAAGTAAAAGCCCAAGGAATTAAGTCGGGATCATGTTCGGGGATCAACTGATGATAGTTAAGAATGAAACGAAGAATCGAGCGGGCATACGCGCATGTTCTAGTAAAATACACATAACATTTTGCTCAAAACTCCGTTTGGACTCCACAATATATCGTTGGAAAGCTATTTGAAAGGGATACAACTTTGGTGTTTTGCATTTTTGCAAATCCCCAATACCGCGGCGCACGGAGCAGCGCGGAACGCGCCTCGCCTGTGGAAAATTCTTGCAGCCTATCAGAATCAGCTCTCTGAACTTCCCCACAAGCACATCGCTTGGCGCGTTGCCCCATGCGGCGCGCCTGTGCAAATTTTACAGAGCCAGAGTCCTATTTCGTGCAGGAAAAGATGTTTTGTCTAGGCCCGACCCTACTTGGTATAAATACATATAAAACGCTATTTTGAGGAACGGGGATAGACTTTTGACACACTTTAGACCTAGGGAGAGCACGGAGCCGCCATGGAGACCTAGATTCAACCTAAGGAGGCAAGAACACACTAGGATCGAGGCGGAGAATTCTTCTACGAGTTTTTCACTTCCTTCTTCCTATTTTCATTATTGTTTATGAATTCTAGTATTGTATTTATGCATACTATTATGAATAGCTAATTTTTTATCTAGGGTTTTGATGGAACCTATTGGAGGATGATTTCCTGTTACGTTAATATAGATTTGCTGTAGTATTTTCTCTATTTGTTCAACTGCGTTATTATTGTGGTTGGTTGAAGAGCTCTCAATCGATTGTGCCTATTTAGTGTGTATTACTCGGGAGAGAGTGCATATTTAAGTAGTTGTTGAACAACACCACTCCTAACGTATATGAGGGATCAATACGTAGGGTTTAAAGGTGGGATTAGGGATAACGAAATCTTGGGTGCGATCCGAGTGAGCCATACTTAATGCCAACTAGCGTAATTCGGAGAATATGTCTAATAAATTTTGGTAATTACTCGGGAGAGAGTTACGACAGTTAGAGCGCTCATGATCGGTAGAGAATACTTAGGCGAATTTATGGAAAACGTAGCGGAAAGGATTCCGACGATTGGGAAAATCATAACTCTATAGCTCCTTAATCTTATCTCTAACCCTTAGTATATTTAGTTGTTAATTTACTATTTTAATTTGTTAGTTAATTAGTTAAACACAAGAATCTTAATATCTATAAGTTAGGAATTTTTCAAGCTTGTCTTCTTGGTGATAGTGAACACTTGTAGCTAAGCCTTAGACTTTGTGGGATTCGACTCCAGACTTGTAAACCGGACTATATTTGCAACGAGAGCTTAGTCCATTTTATAAGGCATAGTTGGGTGTGATCAACAATCAAAGCTAAATCCTGAACAAGAACAAGTTTTTAAGACTATATTACAGAGAGTCGACTCTGGCAGAGCAGGATTGTTCTTTGTAGATGGACCTGGAGGAACTGGAAAAGCATTCCTATATCGCGCGTTGCTTGCAAATCTCAGATCAAGAGGCATGATAGCATTAGCAACGACAACAAGTGGTGTAGCAGCTACAATTTTATCCGGAGGTCGTACAGCTCACTCTAGATTCGACATGCCTCTTCAAACAACTGATACAACAATCACAAATATGTCAAAGCAAAGTGGTGGTGCTAAATTGATAAGAAAATCAAAGCTAATAATTTGGGATGAAGAACCTATGGCTAATCTTCAGACAATTGAAACCGTTGATAGGAGCTTCCAAGATATAATGGATATTAATGAACCATTTGGTGGAAAAGTCATGGTCTTCGGAGGTGATTTTCATCAAGTACTACCAGTAGTTCCAAAATCTACAAGAGTTGAAACAATAAATGCAAGCTTAGTAAAATCATACTTGTGGAATAAAATGGAAAAGATTCAATTAACAAGAAATATGAGGGCAAGAGCAGATCCAACATTCAGCGATTTCTTACTACGGATTGGTAATGGAGAGGAACCTACAATAAGAGATGATATAGTCCTTCTTCCTAAAAAATTGATCGTCAAACATGATGGTGATAGAACTGGTGAAGATAATTTAATAAGAGAAATATTCCCATCTTTAGATGAAAAGTCAAGTTGTGCGAAATACATGACAGAAAGGGCTATCTTGGCTAGCAGAAATTAGTATGTTGATCAACTCAATGAGATATTAATTCCCAAGTTTCCTGGCGAAAGTAAAAAAAATTTGAGTTTTGACTCCGCAGAGGATGATACCAACAACTACTACCAGAAAGAGTACTTAAATACTTTAACACCAAGTGGCCTTCCACCATACAAGTTTGCGACAAATTGCTATTCTATATCTTTCTGTGAATTCCTCTAGGTACTTAAAATATAATTATTTATTGCTTGACAAGTTGGTTTTGAAGAAAAATGCCCCGATCATGTTACTTAGAAATTTGGACCCTGCAAATGGCTTATGAAATGGTACAAGAATGATATGCAGAGGCTTCGACAACAACGTTATCCATGCAGAAATAATGATGGGCGAAAATTCTTCTAAACATGTGTTTATTCCCAGAATTCAACTTTCGCCTCCAGAAAATGAAGGTTACCCTTTCAAATTCATCAGAAAATAATTTCCAGTACGGTTATGCTTTTTGATGAATTTAAATAAAGCACAAGGGCAAACAATAGCTAATGTGGGACTGTACTTGCCTCAACACGTATTCTCACATGGACAACTATATGTTGCACTCTCAAGGGGAATATCTATGTCAACAACAAAGGTTTTGGTCATGATCGAGCAGCTGAAGCGAAAAAAAGAAACATATACCAAGAACATCGTCTTTAAAGAGATATTAGGTAAGATTCACCGCCATAACATTACATACCTCATAGAAACAAAATTCAAAGTAACAAAACTATATAACTTGTCCTAAAGTAGCGATATTATGTGTTTACAGTAGCTATAAATATTAGTATTCTTATATGATTTATGGTATTTTGATAGTAAATAATTTTAATTATAATTTCACTATTCAATGTCAATTAGTTATTATGTCAGAAGTCTAGAAGCTGCTCTAATAATAGAAAAAAAAGTTGTTAACTAAGAATAAAATGAACCAAGGCCGGACTTCTTCTGATATTTTCTTTGGTTAGCTGATAGGGATGGATTTGTTCTTTTTTTATAAGTAAGGTAAGCATTTTATATATGAATGACTAGCAACAAGGTTATGCTGGAGTGTCGAACTAATTACAAGCTTTTGTTAGTTATAACAAAGTATATAAGGAGTTAAAAATGAGTAACATTTGACATGTTGTCCAAGAAGATAGCAAAAGTATGCAAATGAACTTAAGACTAAGTATATTTTCTTGTTTGTCTTCAAAACTTCTGGCATTCCTCTCTTGCCTGGTAGTCCACTATAGTTGTCGGGATGTCATACCATAATCTTCCACCCCTGTAGAAGCTTCAAAAGAGTTCTAGGCATAGCCCACCAGAAGAGTGAGAAGCATCTCCAGCAGCTGGGCAATGATCCTACAACGCAAAAATATGTTCTTTACATGTCCAATCCCTTTTCTCTGTACGTAGCATTAAGTGCGGCAAGCAATTCTTCCCACCAACTAAATGAAGCATTGCATACACAAATTAAGCATAGATATTATACATGAATTTTTCATATATTACAACTATATAATTATATTTATTTTTACAGATTCTGAATTGTTTTGATGATTGCATATTTTAGAGGTGCATTCCTCTTACCGGTAACAACTGAAGCAGCATTCTTTACGGCGCACATCTGCATTGTTCAACGGATGATATCAAGAGGGTAAGCAACAATCTGCCCTATGGTTCCAGCAACATCACCACATTCAAGCTTCGTTGTAACACTCAATTTGATGTCCACATGTTAAATACAACTATTTCTTCAATGTAATAAAAAAATTTGGCATCATCAATTGCTATTACACTAAATTCATTCTTATTCAAGTTAATATACACTATTTTAGGCAGTCTACCATTTAAATATTTATTGCATCATCAATTACTATTATACTTAATTCATTCTTATTCTACCTAATTAAAAATCCTCCCTTTGTGCATAACGCATAATACACGTTCAACACACGTACACTAAATCTAGTTCTAAGAAATCAGTGTATTAAATTCTTGAGCGGATCTCTTTTCAATAGAAAATTGAATGGATAAGGAAAGATTTGATTTTATAACAAATTGCATATTCTGATTCTCTCTTCAAGACTAATTAATATTATTTCCTTTTCATTAAGTATCCCGCAAAATCTTCCATTAATACATCCGCTAAAATCTCTCTCAATAAAAGTAATCATCTTATTTGGATCTGTATACGCTTTTTAATGAACAAAAAGTTGTAAGGAGGGTAAAGATATTTTTGGAATGCAAACAATATATTTCCTTTTGTAATTGGTAGGTTTATTTTTGGGAAACTTACACAAATGTCCCAAATAAATCTCAACTTACCAACCTCTAGCCATTAGTCATAGACTTACCAAAACTAGCCAACAAAAATTGAAAAACCAAATAATAGGGTTCTTTCTCTCAAAGAATCACATGCAGAAATCACCTTCCATATTTTTAAGCGTGATTAGCAACATTAGATACAAGACAAAAAGGAAATTTCATGGACGGGGTAGCAAATAAGGTGATGAAATACAAAAATCTATACAATATTCCAAAAATCTAAATAAAAAAGGAACTTTTTCAATGGGTATAGTTGAAATTCATTGAAAATATATAGATAAGTCAATATACAAAATTTGAGGAAGATTGGAGGTGATTTGGACTAGTTTTGTATCAAAATTCGTAATTAAATCGAGTTCAAAAAAGTCTTCTGCATCACATGTATCAAACATGTATCACGCATGTATCTCACACTATACATGGATATACATGTGATACACAATTGATATAAATGTGATACATATGTGATACGCAAATGATACACAGTGTGATACACATATCATTTTTTTTCATGTTCATCTTTTACTTCAAATTTTCAATTCAAACCACCTCAAAACTTCACCAAATCATCCCAAAACTGAGATTCAAGCTCCTTAAGTTGTGCCCAATCTATTCTAATAGCACCCACTCAAAACAAAGCAATTGGATTACCAGAATTTTATAGTTATTTTCGAGCTGAATTATCAAACTCAGTAGACGTGGAGACGCGCGAGAGGTTACTAAAGGAAGCTATTAATGAAGTGAAGATCAATAACTGTATACTAGCTAGTAAACAACTAGAGAACATAAAGAGACTGATAAATGTTAGGAGATAGAAAATTCAAAGACTAGATGCAACAGAAGTTTTTAGGAGGAAACAGAGAAATGCAGAGGAAGAAGCAGAGGAAATTTGGAAGAATATGGTGATGGGACAGAGCATAAAGATTGTGGGTAAATTTTTAGGCGAAAATAATAGGAGCAAAATGGTTTACAGAAATGATGTGACAACCATTAAGAGAGCAACAGCATCGGCCATAGCTCAATATTATTTTTATGTTACAAATAGCTAATTGGCTAATTTGGTTAATATTAGTAATATTTTATCAATTGGCCAATTTTTGTAATGAGCTACTTATAAATGGACATAGCTGGTAATTTTCCTATATTTTTTAAGTTATTAATTAATGTAAAGCAATACACTCAGTTCTAATGAACGTCATCTCCAATTTCTGATCAGGAAACAAAGGTAAATTAACGGGTAAAGGATCCCCTCCAGTGAAATTCTGTCTGGTTATGTTCAATAACGTTGTTGATTCTTACCATGTGTCTACCCACATTTTCTATGGTTGAGATTCAATCTTGTAATATATACAATTTAGGCTGAATACATAGACAACCCCTTAAACTTGTCCCTTTTTTCTTCTAGACCCTTAAACTAAGCTCATGACCCATTAGGCACTCCAACTTTACACAAAGTGTGCCTATCAGACACAAGAAGCTAAAGTAGTACAGGAAGGAATATGCGTGTCGATCAACCTTTGGTGACATGGCAAAACACCAATGAAAAAATGACATGTGGCTCTTTCTCAGAAAAAACTTTGAAGCAATGTCCTTTATAATTGTTGAGCTGCAACGACCCGGCCGGTCGTTTCATGATTTATAGCCCCGTTTTCCCCATTTTTGCTTCTTTATGTGATGTTCAGTTGTATTTTGTGGTATTCGGTTGGTTGGTTCGGAATCGGAGTGGTGTTGGAGAGGGATGAGACACTTAGTCTCCTATTTTGAAGTTAAGTTGGAAAAGTCAACCGGAAGTTGACTTATGAGTAGGTGATCTCGGATGTGAATTCTGACGGTTCGGTTGGCTTTGTTAGGTGATTTTGGACTTAGGAGTATGTTCGAAATTTAATTTGTAGGTCCGTGGTAGATTTAGGCTTGAAATGGCGAGATTGGAAATTTGGCATTTCTCTGTCGGCAGTGGAAATTTTGGTATCGGGGTCGGAATGGAATTCTAGAAATTGGAGTAGGTTCGTAGAGTCATTTGTGACGTGTGTGCAAAATTTCAGGTCATTCAGACGAGGTTTGATAGCTTTCGGCATCGTTTGAAGAATTCGGAAGTTTAGAAGTTCTTAGGCTTGAATCCGAGGGTGATTTGGTGTTTGATGTTGTTTGGAGTGTTCCGAAGGTTTGAATAAGTTTCAATAGTGGTATATGACTTGTTGGTATTTTTGGTTGAGGTCCCGAGGGCCTCGGGATGAATTCGGATGGTTAAGGAAGGGTTGGAAATTGATTTGAGCAGCTGAAGTTGTTGCTTCTGTTACTTCCGCACCTCCGGATTAGGGACCACAGGTGCGAGGTCCGCAGAAGCAGAGAAGGACCGCAGGAGCGGAAGTTGGACCGCATCTGCGAGCCCGCCGGTGCAAGGCCTGGGGCACAGGTGCGGAAGTTGGGAATTTAACTAAAATGCGCAGATGCGGCGTTTGGACCGCAGGTGCAGTCTCGCAGGTGCATGATTTTGGCCGCAGAAGCGGAAGTGCTGGGCAAAATGTATAAAAAGGCCCCTTCGCGAATTTTGGTCATTCTTCGCCATTTTTCATCCGAATTTGGAGCTTTTGGGAGCAATTTGAAGAGGAATTCAAGGGGGTATTCACTGAGGTGGGTAATTTGAGCCCTAATACTCGTGATTATGGTAGTTTTCGGTGGTT